TATTTACCCTGTTACTAGCAACAGCACATTGCTTGGATGGTTTGAAAGACTGATGAACCAGAACACCAAGATCTTTTTACTTTATAATACTGTTAAGTTTGTTCTCATTAAAATTATACTCATAATTAAAATTGTGACATCCCACATGCATTACATTTCATTGATTATAATTAAAAGACATCTGACATTTATTTGCCCAACTCAATACATAATTCAAATCCTTTTTAAAGCAGCAGCATCCTCCTCACAGCTACCAACACCCAAAACTTTAATGTCATTTAAATATAAATTTAAATAATATATTAACACTTCCTTCATCTATGTCATTGATCTAAATCAAAAAAGCAAATGTCCTAAAACAGAGACCTAAGGTACTCCACTTCTGACATTAATACAGTTTGACTGTACTCCATTTTTAAAAACCCTCTACTTTCTTCTATCTAATAGGTTTTCTATCCCCACTTAGATGTTGCTGCCAACAAAACTATTTGTTAATACATTATGTTTCAAGAATTTAATAAATTCATTATAACTGCTTATAGTCCTATAAGCATGATTGCACAAAACCTTTATTAAATTTGTCTTGAATGCTGTAGGAATAGAACTTGAAAAAATGAACATATACAGCCTGTAACCCAGAAAATATTCTTTTACTGTATGATAGATACATGACTTGAAAATTACATTGTTGGTTATGCATTAAAGTATTCAGAAAATATAATCTCAATGATATTTATGCTTATGTATGATAAATAGATTACACTTTAATTTCTTAAGTGTTACACCAGGTGAAGTTCTGAAAGTGCACCTCTACTTTGCTCGATATATTCTCAAACTACCTGAAAGCTATCTTTGCCACATTTGTAGGTTGTATTCTTCTTGCAAGCATTAATTTGGAAACATAAAAACCATGGTTGTAATTATTTATGTTAACTTCTATGTTATTCTAGTTGTGAAATACATACATTTTAATAACTTAAAATGTAAACAACTGATAGAAGTGCAAAAATGATTTTGTTATTAACTCTTTTTTTTTTTTTGGAACTGAGCTACAGGAATATGTTAACAGGCAATAAACATACTGGGTAACAATTAAATTTCACAATCTATATGACAAATTAGGCAATGATTTTCAAAAAGCGTGATTAAAATACCAAATCTGAAGCACAAACAACTGACATAGTTAACTAAACCTCCTTTACATGTATCTAGCCAATCTGATTCATTAAAATCCCTATACTAACAACTTTATGTGAAAAGCACAGCCATGCTCATTATCTTACTCTTAACATGATACTCCTATAACATCAAAACTACTGGCTACAAGCTTATGTATGACTGCTGGACTAGACCACTTGCTATCTTACAAAGCATAGCTTGTTCCAATGGTTTAAAATTATATGATAATACCTCTACTGGTCTTCCTTACTGTCTAAAATCATCAGGATCCAATGAACCTGGGACTGATTTGGTGTACAGAATGTTTGTCAAACAGAGTGATAAAAACAAATAACTAATAAAATCTAGATTATTGAGTAATAATCTTTCTCATTATCATAATAGGATACCAATTACCTATTCAGTATTTATTGATACCTAAAAGAAAGTAAAAATTAATTTATCTCTAGATTAAAGCAATTATTTAACTGTAGCTTTACATTCAGGAGTTCAGAAAAGTTAGGGTATCCAGTAAAGGTGAAGAGCCCAACCAAAGAAAAGCCACTTTGCCTGACTGAAATTTGAACCCAAAGTTGAAACTATATTCAATAAATATGCTGCAAAATACCAAGTAATTTTGTAAATAAATATTAAAAGCAGATGTAACAGTAACCCTAGTCAAAAGTCACATAACTACAATACTTTAGAACAACCCATAGCAACCATAACATTACAGTACTGTTAGCCACATTTTCCATTACTTCTACGACTCTGATAAAACCAGATTTACAAGTTTCTAAACCTGTGAGAGCCCTATTTATCACCCTACATACAGAAACTCTAACTTTCCATCATTGCACTTAAATTGACAAGGAGTCAGTTTCATATTATGTCACAGAAGTTTTGATAGGTTTGCATGAGCCAAGTAAGAACCTTTTCAGCATATAAAAAATAAATAAATATTTTTTCAAATATATCAATACCAGATCATTGTGTTTATAGGAGTGAATCAATACTATTTTGATGCACAAACAATGTCTTAAAATACAGTAATATCAAAGTGAAATATCCTTCTCTCAACACCTGACATGAGACATGACTAGGGTTGCCATGTTAACAACTATAAAATGAGGAGCACTTTTGTTGGTGTTTGATAATTTTCAGCATTTTCATTAAGTTGGAAACTTAGGTTAAAAAACTATGATGCACCCTATACAAAACAAGAAATAAAACATATTCCATTCTTATCTGAAATAAATGCTACATTTTAGTATTTATCAAGAAAAAGGTCCATAAAATACTAACAGGTGACAACCTTAGAAAACTATAAATTCATAATACTTCAAACATACTGTGATATCATAATTTCACAGAAAACATCTGTGGCTTAACTTACAATACTTTAAAACTGGATCATACTGTCTGTAACACCGTGTCAAGTGCATGGGAATTCTACATTTTTTAAGTTTATGTCTCCTTGAATATATTGCATGGTAAACCTAGTGGGGCATCTGCCATTTCAACCTATCAAGTTGAAACCTCCATGAGTTAGCCAATATTTTACTAAACAGTCATTCTGATGCATATGTTTTATGTAATAAACATGACTACATTCATTTAACTTTTGATTTATCAGAGGGTCACTAGCATGGAATCCTGCTAGATCCAAAACAATGCAAAAACCTTGTCTACTGCATTGGCGAGCTTCACCTAAAAGGTGAGCAACTGAAATGCCAGCCGCACTGACTGTACTCAGATGCATGACAATTTTAAAATTTCTTTGTGTTTTTTCTGGCTCATTATTGTAATTACACACATAAAAGGAAAAGAGAATTTTTAACATGATTTAAATTACTAACGAAGAACAAAATACACGTAAGATTACTGTACTAATAAAATATAATCATAGAGAATCTCTGAACTACTTTTTACAATGTTAATATCAATGAGTTAGTGCTGCACACACCCATGATGTTTCAGGTTGAGCAAAGCTAACTTACATGTCTAATATGCCACATACACAAAGATTACTTATTATTTTGCTTTGGAATCTTGTAAGATATTGTTGAATTGTAGCAATAACATGTTTAATGTGGAAGTAACTAGCAAAACAGTGCTAAAACTATCATAATCCCTGAACAGAATAGAACTGTTCATCCTTAGTAATACTTTCCAAAATGAAAATAATATCTTAAGGATGTCACTCCAAATTTATAATGTGTAACCTTAATTTTGATACAATGGGACACGGTTCCCTTGAGCTATAGAACTTAGGAACATCACTGTACCTGCCTCACTTGAAATGTACATTACTGGGCATAAATATAAGAGACCACCATTCATTCTCGTTTGCAAAAGCTGTCCAGGACAAAATATGGTAATGATATCATTCTGAAACCCTTATTTATTGAAATATTTTAAAGTTATGTTTTTGCTTTAAATGAATTATACAAAATGAGAAGAATGTCATTGAATGTCACTTAAAAAGCAAAAACAATATTGTTCCCATTGAATGACCAGTGAGGCTTCATTAAGAGCACAGCATACAGTTATATTTATTTGATAAATCAATGTGATGGAAAGAGTTTAAACACATATAACTAGGATATCTAGTCTAACCGAATAAGGTATAAGGAGAGCCATAATATTTTGGGGTTTTCTTCTTAAACACAGAAGAAAATAGTGATGACTTGATTCAAGTGTTGAAAATTGTTATGAATTTGTTTTGGTGAGGTGAATAAAATCATTTGAAATACCAAGTTGAGTATTAAGACTGAAAGGTTGAAAATTGAAATCTGGAAGCTCAGAAACAAATATTTTCTACAGCAAAATTATTTTTCAAAATTTCAGTTAGTTATAAACTTGTGGAATGATTTGGCTGATAGTGATATGAACTGAGTGGCCTTCAAACACCTTGTTCTTTGTTTTCAGCAATGAATGTTTCAGTGAGAAGTTTTTTGTGTGTGTGTGACACAATAGTATCATGCAGAGTAATTTTTTAAGCAAACACACCTGGTTGGAAGAATTATAGTAAAATTCCTTCTTTGTTAAAAAAAAAATGAAACATGTTATGACTGGATTTGTGAAAGTACCTCCTATAAAACGTACGATGGTGTAAGGCAGATTATAATACTTCTACTCAACAGTACTGGTTGTAATATTAATTAACATAGTAATATTATACTGTTATAAGTATGTTAGAACAATGACTAATATTATTTCTACAAACTTTTATTCAAATATTTTTGTTTCTATATTATTATTTAATTTCTAGCTATCAAGATTCATCAAAATTTCAAGGAATTTAATACTAATACTGAGTAAGAGCTACAAGTATTAGTAAAACATTTTTTAAAAATATTTTTATTATTTTTTGCCAGTGTTGAAAAATGTAAATTTCCTTTTTATTCTATTCATTACTAATACTATGAAATTAGACACTAGTACAGTAACAGGTAAAAACTTTGCACTACATCTTTACACCGTAAATTACAGTTACACTACAGTTAAGATAGTAGAATTATATTTATAGTTATACTGTTACTATTATTATTGCAGGTTTTTTCATGTCTTATTGTTCAGTGTTTACACTTTTAAAGCGGATCGCGAAACTAAAGTCCTTCTTTTATTACTAATACTACTAGTAATATTAATAATTCTTAATATTTCAAACCTGATTTGGTGTTTTACAATTTACTGTAATACTATTAATAATAATAATATTATTATTACTGGTAGTTGTACCAAAGAAGTAATACTACTGTGTGAGTCTTAACCGTGAGTTAACATTAATAACAATAAACTGAGTTAAAGAGTGGTAGTAGTATAATATTATTACTTACAGTTACACCATATTGCTCTTGAAGTTCTGCCATTCTTTGTGCTCTAAGCGCTTTTAATTCTTCGTCTTCCATTCTAATATCCTAAAAGTATTAATTCTAATTCGTTGAAACTTTATAATTTGCTATTTTTGGAAAACAATTCAAACCAACACCACACTCGCTATTGCTAAACAAATATGTCCACAGATGGCTCTTTGCAAATATCGAGGAAGACGCGATATAATTACAAAATTATAATCACAAAACGAGAAATACAATTAGAGTATATGTTTATTTTATGAGAAATAAGACTACGACAAAGGCAACAAAACAATTATAAAATTACTATGAAACTTCAAAATGGACACTAGTTTACTCTGTTACTATGCGGATCAGTGGTAAGCTTATGAGCTTAAAATTGTAAAAATCAATGTTCGATACCCACAGTGGATACAGAGCAGCTAACCCAAAGTGTAGCTTTGCACTTAAAAACTATTTTGCTGACGATTATACATGTATGCAATTGAGATGAAAAATACAAAATGCATACTTAAAACAATTTTTGTTGGCATAAGTAAGAAGGCAAAATAATGTTAAACTAGTAAATACATTTATAATAATAACAGTATAACATATTTCACTCATTAGTTAATTCACATAAATCCGTTAATCGTCCTTCTTAATATAATTGTTGGATCAAGAAAGTTTTAACTCAGAAGACTGAACCAAATCGTTTGTTAACAACATGTGCGCCGGATCAGGTTCGACAGCAGCCGCACCAACATTTTGTCACAGTAGCTGAGGGATCAGTTTATAGATGCCTTGGACAGTTCACAGCTGAAGAAAGAAGTGAAGCAAGCACACCCCACTACTATGCATGATGCAACGGCCAGAGCTCTTGAATTCGAATCCTACGTTAAGTCCAGCACAGAG